AATGTTTCTCTGTTAAAAGCAGTATAGAGTTGCAAGACTGTGAAATACAAGCTGGTGGCAGAGACATGCAGCTGGCTAATTTTCCAGTTGACATGTTAATTGTAACTGTAAATTTCATCTGTTTAAAATTGTTCTGCTGTAATCAAAGTAAACAGACTTTGATTTTTAGCTTAAGGTAGCATTAATGTTCTGTGCTTGATGCAATCTCTTTTAAAATCTTGGAAGTGGATGTCAAAGGCATTTGCTACTATATTTTTAATTTGTAATTGTAGAAAAGGTAATGTAGCCAGAACACTTAAGTTTTGGTCTCCTGGCTGCAGACCTGAAAAGGATTTCCTTTGATTGAGGCAAGTAACTGATGGTTGAAGCTATTCACGTTTGATTCCAAGGAATCATGAGTTTTAAGAACAGATCATGTTTTATCTGTGTAATTTGTCTCCTCTTGCTGTAGGTAACTGCTGGGTGCCATTTAATGGCTTAGTACACTTCTTTTAGTTTGCTGGAACAGCAGTATAGTAGCAGCATGTGCCTCTGTTAAGGAGTGAAATTATAAATTGTATTGGCAAACTTGCTATTGGCAATAGGTAGGATTAACTAAAAAAGTTACTATGTGGGACATGCCGAAGAAGAATCACAAAGCCTTAGATAGAAACTGGGTGGCTGCCCTGTCCTTTACTTGAGGCTTCCACATTGTGATACTTGAAAAGATGCAAGAGTTCATGTGCGTTTTTTCAGGCACCACCTCATACAGTTCAGCATAGCCTAACTATGGTGCCTTTAAAATGAGATCTAGGTAAGTTCACCACAAATAAATGTGCTGCATGACTTACTATGAAGAGCTCTCAGTAAAACTAAATAGCGATTTTTACCAATGAGAAACTTTTCCATGCACCAGTATATTTCAATCTGTATGTGAAAAATCTTGGATCTCTTCTGGCTAACAGGTCTTTCCTCATTACAAATCCACTTCTAACAAATGTGAGGGCTATTCATAATTGGCACAAATAACTTGCTGTTGTGATCCAGTACTGGAGATGAAATAGTAGATTATCTGTACTTTTCAGTGCAACTGTGATACAACAATGGAAATTTGTGTAGGAGTAGAATTTAACTGCCTCTTGGCTGAATTTCTGTCATTGTATGATAGAATTGTCAACATGCAAACGTACCTTCTTTTTCCTTTAACAGTGCAAGTGAACACCGTAATTCTGAGTGTTTTTGGTCTGATTAGATGAGGACACTACTTTGATCAAAAAGTTATGCTAATAAGAGCATTTATGCTCTGAAATACTAAAACTTTTTTTCTTTCCTTTTTTTATATCCCCTCCAAATCCACAGTGTATTTTTTATTGTTTATGAAGATCTTATCATACATGTATTACTGTTCTAAAATTGTGCTAGTGTAGTTTTTTCCATTCAGTATGTGACTTGAGTAGAAGCATTGTTTCCTCATGAGCACAAGCATGAAAAATACTATGCCTGCTTTATTTACAGCTGAGACCACAGTGGGGCTTTCTTAATCTTGCATTTAAAGGGCTCAACTTGGAGCCTTGTGCAGTGGAATTCTTTTGTGCCCACACTCTGTAATATCTGTTCTCACTGGTGCTTTATCAGGCACACACTAGCACTGATAACCAGCAATAACCTTTCAGTTATTATGTTTTGTGTATGCTTCAGATATTTTCCTAAGAAATATTGCATAGTGTGGAGAGACAAGACACACAGAACAGAACTTTCTTGTGCTCACAGTGTGCATATCTTGGAGCTGATCTGGTAATTGATAACTCAAATATCAGTTGCAAGCCATTCTCTCCTTCCCAGAATAAAACAGATTGAGCTACCGGCTTATTTGAGCACTGTACTAAAATATGTAGCTATCACATGATGGTTGAAGTTAGAGATGACCTCTGGAGGTCATCCTATCAATGTGTGCAGGTTCTACCAATATCTAGCCAGGTATGGTCATATGCCGAAATACATAATTCTCTCAAGCTAGATACTAGGTTATTCTCTACCTTCTCTTAAAACCTAGATGGGCTGTAAATGAAAACTTGTAGCTTGTTGGTTTTTTGGGTTTTTGTTTGTTTGTTTTGGATTTTTTGGTATTCTTTGCTTTTTGGGTTTTTCTTTTTTTAAAAGTATTGTGGGTCAGTATTACAGCATTAACTACTTAGAGTCACATATAATGTTTCAGTATTTTAGGACATGAAGACAGATTTCTTCTAGCCTTTCCTTGATCCTCCCTGACCAGTCTTTTCATAGAACAATTTTATTGTTTCTTATTAGAAACATGACAGGCTTTTTTGTAATACCAGAAGATATTAGCAAATGTTGGCAGTTTTCTTAGTCAACGCATAAATCTGCTTAGATAATATAAATGTGACTCCCTTTATGCAACACTTTATACTTGCAACAAGCTCAATTTTAATGTGATGCTTTTCTCTGAGAAATAAGAATGGATTTTATATGAAGGACTAATAACACACAGTTACACTGTTGCATGCTTGAGGTTTTGTTGTCATGGTTGTGAACATGTTTCTTTATGTCCTTTGTTCTAATACATGTTATTTTGTTTTTTCCTCCTCACTTCTGTAGGTGGGTGAGGGAGAAGTGGGGAGAAAGTGCTGTTGGAAACAGCAGAATCCGATGAGGGAGACAGGAATACCTAGAAATAATTTTGAGGTATATTCCTGCATTTCTAGGGAAGTCATCTGAAGGACAGCTACTCAAGGTGCCAGAGCAGGGCATTTTGTAGGTGCATTCTTTTCTGTCATGAGCTTCAGGTGCGTCTGAGTTGTGTGAGAAGCCTAATTGGAGGACATTCCATTTCCTCAGTTCTGGTTTAGGCAGGTCAGCATAGACTTAGGAAGTGAGTGGCTTGTACCTGTATGTATTAAATTAAAAATAATGCATTATTATTCTTCCTCTTGATATCAAGATGCTAGACCTAATTCTATGTAAAATCTTAAATACAGCAGCGTGGTGATTCTCTTTTTGTGTCCTCACTGTTCTTACACCAAGATGATCAGAGGGCTGGAGCACCTTCCCTACAAGGACCCACTGTGAGAGTTGGGGTTGTTCAGCCTGGAGACAAGAAGGCTGCAGGGAGATCTTATTGCAGCCTTCCAGTACCTGAACAGAACTTAGAAGAAAGCTGTAGTGGGACTGTTTACAAGGGCGTGTAGTGATAGGACAAGAGATAATGGTTTTAAACTGGAAGAGGGTAGATTTAGACTAGATACTAGAAAGAAATTCTTCACTGTGAGGGTGGTGAGACACTGGCACAGGTTGCCCAGGGAAGTTATGGATGCCTGGAAGTGTTCAAGACCAGGTTGGACAGGGCTTTGGGCAACCTGGTCCAGTGGGAGGTGTCCCTGCCCATGGCAGAAGGGTTGGACTGGATGATCTTTAAGGTCACTTCAACCCAAACCATTCTATCATTCTATGATTCTGTAAGTGGATCACATACCACTTCTTGCTTGGTTTGGTGTAAGTTTGACCCGAATACGAATCAGCAAATCAATAGATTCCTCTGATCTGAGGCTATGCAGATCTTCCAAGAAGTTTGAGCCATTAGTTAGTTCTCTTCAGTCCAGAAGAGCTGCAGTTCAGAAAACTGGGTAATTCTCGGTTATGTTCCTTTTTGTTCTCTGTTTAATGTATATAACACATTATATACACAGATATATCTAAAAAATATGTGTGTAACATGTAGATGCCTATTTCTTTTTAAATCCCTTCTGGAGACAAGAAAACCTACTATTTAAGAAAGTTATCTGTTAAAGGTAATAATCTACAAACTGATCAGGATTCTACCTATTAGTGGAAAGCTTATGCCATGTAGGATCTTGAGATGTGTTCCAGGGACACCTGTTTTTGAGAACTTCATAGTGCAGAGTCAGTGAGAGAGACGCTGACATGAATCTGTGCTTATGATCTTTGCATAATGTTGACATAATCTGTTTTTTGTTTTATTTTATTTTTTTTTTAAATTTCTGTATATGCTTACTGCTGTTGTAAAGGGGACATGGATGATGGCCTTCGTAAGTGGCAGTCCTATAAGTATTTCCTCTGGACTCTGTGCTGATGGTATGTTTGGTATAAATGTATCAGGAGGAGGAGAAATTTAATGAAGGATCTCACATTATAATTATTTCAGCACAGAACATACTGGTAGGAATAACTTGAGTCCAGTGTATTTTGTGTCTTATTTAACAAATGGGAGTTTTGCCCTTTACCTCATTGGGATTGAACCTCTAATTGTGTTAATATTTAATAAGCCTTCTGGGATGCAGGCTGCTTCACAAATACTGCTTGAGCTGTCTTGTTGAATAGTATTCTTCTAATGGAATTCAGGGTCTTTCTGGTATATTCGTTCTTTTTACTTGTTGCTTTGGATAACTAACATACTTCACTCAGACTACTTCCTGCAGATTTCTTACAGCAAGTGTAGGAAATATTTACATTGAGTTTAAGTATTCCGGTTTTTGCCTAGTTTGGCAAAACAAAACTGCATTTTGAAAAGCAAGCATGCAACAAGTATGTGTGTGTGTATATATATGTGTGTGTATGTGCATATACTTTAAAATATATATATATCAAACAGTTACTATTTCTGCATTGTAAGGCTAAGTGTTGAATTGTAAAGAAAAGCAACAAGTTAGTCTTCGTCCATGTGACTCATGACTTCTGCATTTGTCGTCCTTCCTTTTTAAGCAGTGAAGCGTGTCTGGGGAAGAGACTTCTCTTCCCTCGTTCTCACTGAAGTGCCACTCTCCCACGCTCCTTTCTAGCAGCATCACCTTGCAATGAATACTAGAATAGTTTGCAGGGTAGTGAATAATTCATTTCCTGAAAAATTGATAAAATGGCAACTGAGCCTGAACTATAGGAAATGCTGTAACTGAGACCAGTAAGTCATGGTAGAACAGTATATACTTTCAGATTAAGAAATAAGATTTCCTGTGCTGTAGAAGTCAAAGAGAATTTTTTTTCCCTAGGAGCCCTTTGAAGATGGCTATGCAAATGGAGAGGAAGGCGCACCAGCTGGGGAAGCAGCTGCCACTTACACACCTGATAGCAAGGGCGTGGTCAAGTTTGGTTGGATAAAAGGTGTATTGGTAAGTTTTGTGTCACGTACTTCAGTTTCCTAAAGATAAGATCTTTCTAATACTCTCTTTTTTGAGAGTGATTGTGATCGCACTGTGTAAAGAAAACGTTATATGTATGAGATGTGTGAAAAATGCCATAATTTTAAGGATTTAAAGATCAGCTAGTCCAAAATCTTCTTGTCCTAAGCTGTGGAAATCTTAACACTAAACATAATGTAGTTGTGGTGGAAAAAGCTGAATCTGTCCCCATTTGAAGTAATGAGAAATTAAGGTTCACGGATTAATTTATTTTTAGTATTTTGGCAAAGAGACACCATGATGAATGCATACACTCCAAAGCTGTAAGGATTTATAGGAGTGGCTGCAAATGCAACAACTGTTTGATGCACACTGAACTTGAGCATTCAAAATAACTAATTTGAGTTCAGTGAGCTTACACGGCGTATGAGCAACTTCCTTACAGGTAGCCATATTCTCTGCCTTGGGAGAAGGAGAGTGCCTGGGGTAGCTGTGAAATGGGTATTACAGACTTCTATTGATGTTATCCCAACCAAGGACAGCGTTGTTCATTCTAAAGCAGCTATGAAGCTGACTTCAGATTTCTCCGAACCTAAATTCAGTATTGGACTATTTTTATAAGCAAAAATTCTGTGTATTGAAGAGTTTTGAGATAAATGTTGCTTACTACTTTATTCCAAAGTCCATTTAAAAGTTTCAAGGATGATGATCTCCTTTTTCAGTGGTTTGAAAGTTGCAGCTGGTATTTCCTAGTAGGCATAAGCCACTTGGGTATTTCCAGCTCAGGTGATGTACATTTTGCGGAAGACTTTAAATCTCTGAAAACTTCTAATTTTTGTGGTTTGGAGGGGTCCTTGTCTCCCTTCAAGTGCTAATGACCAGCTAAACTTTTTGTAGGATTGATATAATGGTCTTTAGGTAAGAGAGAAACCCAAGACGACCTGTTAGTCTTCTATCTAAATTCTGTACATTGCAGACTCTTATTTCATTCTGGACTAAGAGTTTAAAATACAAGGATAAAAAAATTAAACCACTTCCATCCTGTTAGTGTGTCGCAAGATACGAAATGTCTGAGACGTTGTGGAGATTGTTTGGTTTTTTATAAAAGAATAAATGATTTAGTAGGGTATTGCTTTAGTGCACTTTTGGGGGGAGATTTGTGGGACATGTAAACTGGGGTTGTAGGCTTCGTAATCTTGGCTTTACTCATGTGTTCTGTAGCATGAATTTTGGATCCTAAGGGTTGGGGTCTAAACTATTTCTATTGGTTTGTCAAGACGTACTAGAAGTGTCAGATATTGAAGTACTGTAACTTTATGTTCAAAGTAGTTACTTTTAAATCATATTTAAGTTTCCTTTTTTTAATCAAACCTAAACTTGTCTAATAAAAAAAAAATCTATTCTTGTGAAATAATTTGGAAATTGGTAAGAAGAGACTGTAAGATAATTCTAACAACATTAAAAACTGAAATGAAGAATTAGTGGAAATTACTGCAGTTGTACAACCTAACCTGTGTAAAATTTGTGTTTTATCTTAGGTACGATGTATGTTAAATATTTGGGGTGTGATGCTCTTCATCAGATTATCATGGATTGTAGGGCAAGCTGGGATAGGTATGTGTACTGATGCTGTAGTTTTATTTCAGTGACTTTTAAATGTGATCCAAAAGAGGTGTTGGTCCTGAGCTTATATTTTAAACAGGCTTAGAAAATTACTATAATATTGCCAGTTTTTGAAATAATTTGCCTTTTATCAAAACTTTAAGCAGTATGAATTTACTTCAACTTTCTCATTTAGCTGTAAGGTATGTAATTTAAAATTGACATTTTTAAGTCTTCTACGAACTGCAGAGATAAACTTTTGGTTATCTCTGGTTATTAAAATCTGCATATAGATGGTATAGCATATAAATAATTTTCTTCAGAGGCTTAATTTAGTACTGGACTGCAGAAAATGTCTTGCCTGTAAAAGTCATGCGCTTCCTCGAAGTTCTAGGATATAGCTTTTATCCTGCTGATTAAATAGATCATTTATCCAGTTTTGTTTGTATCCTGGAAGCTTCTCTATAAAAAGAGGGAGTGAAGAGGCTTTTTTCTGGAATATGCAGGACCACACACAATTTATGTTGTATTTGCAAGACTAATTCTTTAAACCAAGTTAAGTTAAAGATTTGTACTTTCTAATACCACTGGACTTACACCATTTCTCCTCTCTCTTTCCAAAAGGTTTGTCTGTCCTGGTTATTGGAATGGCCACTGTTGTCACAACTATTACAGGACTGTCTACTTCAGCAATAGCCACAAATGGGTTTGTAAGAGGAGGTAAATATACTTTCATAAAGCTTTTTAAGCTTTCATCATTCTGAAGTGTACACCTTAAGGATGAGACCTCTAATTTATTTCCTGGTTTTTTAGCATGTGGAAAAAACTGGTATGGATTAAATGTTGGGAAGAGTTAGCTTGCTGAGGAGCAGAGTCTGCTCTGTGTTCTGTATTTGACTAAGCAGCCATGTAATTAATGAAAAGTCAGTAATTAGCTTACTAATTTGATTTCACTAGGGCTTGTTTTTCTACTGTGCAAGAAATGTTACCTATTCTTAATTTTTGGAATACAAACATTTTCAGAGACACATCCAGAAATGCAAAGGTTCTTAATATTCTCCTGCACCTGCAGTTGTTTGTTAAGAGTGTGCATGTGTGCTTGTGTGTGTTCATATCCTGAAATAAAACTTACTATTGACAAAATGCATCCTATGAAAGGATATATAGCTGTATGAGAGAATAGAAAGAACATATTCTTGTTCTGTTGTGATATTTTTACATGCAGAAGAAATACTCCAAGTTCTTGATTATCTCCAGCTTTCCTGAGGGTGATGGTTTTCATCCTCTTTCATGGTTCATATGCTATTATCAGCAATTATTACAAAAATAGCTATGTAAGTAGTTGATGCCTTTGACAAGTTTAACTGCTTCATGACATTACAAGAATGCTACTAGAAGAAAATATGGTGGGCTTAAAGTAGAAGCTTATAAAACTCTCTTGGTTAAGTATGAAGAGAAAAACCTCAATATCACAACGAAAACAGACCCAATGGGAAGGATCAGCTGTGAATCTTAGCCTTATGTCAAGCTGAGTTTCTAAATGCCTTTTCTTTTTTTAAACTGCAATATACATACCACATTTTCCTGTGTTTTGTTTGGTTGGTTTTTTTTAAAGAGTCACTCTTGCAAAATAATACTTCATTAGAAAATTTTAAGTGCTAAATGGGAAGAGTTGTAGAATACAATCACAGTTGTTCCTGTGAAAATCTTAAATTACAGTAATATTTTTCGTCTGTTAACATTCTCATTTGCAAAGTGTGTCAAAGCTGGGTACCTATGTATGTTTGGCACAAAAACTATAATGCAGTGAAATTAAGGATTTCCTGATGCAAACTTTTAATGTGTACTCAATTATTTAAGACTGGAGCTGGAGTATTTTGTTGCTTGTGGAAATCTTGCCTTTGCTACATTTTAAAAATTTTACTGTTCTCTAATGCATGCTCAGTTTTAAAACTGTCATGTGTGGGGTTTGAGATGTTGTATTTGCCAAGTTAAAAAAAAAATACGAAGAATAGGTACTGAAAAATAGCGTGGCCACGTGAGTGTTCTGAGTCCCACTGGAGGGCAGAAAATTTCCTTAACAACAGAAACATCTTGGGGGTTTGGAAGTTGAGCAGTTTTATTACAGCCTACTTTGCCAATTTCTTGAGCTATAGCTAATAAAAATATGTAACGGCAGAACTAAGCACAAATGCTTTGAGTAGTACTGTTTGTGTTTTACAGTTTTGGTTTTTAGCTATATAACTGATTGTGTTGCTGAATAATACGATGTAGTGCATGAGTCAGGTGGCTATTTCCATCTGGTATCTTAAAGACTTTTTAAATGTATTCCTCAAACTGCAGCATACCTATTACTAAAATACTAAGTTTTGAGTTACTTTCATATATATCTGGAAAGATGCAAGAATAGATAGTGTCTTGTTCATGTAAACTTTAAATTGCTGATGACTATCTGTTCTTAGGCTCTGTCATGTAGTTGGTTGTCTTCTTTATTTTCTTTCAGGAGGAGCATATTACTTAATTTCCAGAAGTCTGGGGCCAGAGTTTGGTGGTGCCATAGGTCTGATTTTTGCATTCGCCAATGCTGTTGCAGTAGCAATGTATGTTGTTGGCTTTGCAGAGACAGTTGTGGAGCTGCTCAAGGTACATGGATGATAGTGCTTCTATTGATTACATTGTTCTTCATGCAAATTTGAGCTGTCATCTAATCATAGAATCAGAATGGTTTGGATAAGAAGGAACCTTTGAAAGTCTTCTAGTCTAACCCCTCTGCAACGTACAGGGACATCTTCAACTAGATCAGGTTGCTCAAAGCCTTGTCCAGCCTGACCCTGAATGTTTCCAGGGCATCTACCACCTCTCTGGGCAACCTGTTCCAGTGTTTCACCAACCTCATTGTAAAAAAAAAAAAAAAAAATACCTTCTTTACATTCTAGTCCGAATCCACCCTGTTTCAGTTTAAAACCATTATCCCATGTCCTGTTGCTACAAACACTATTTAAAAGTCTGTCCTAATCTTTCTTATAAGCCCCTTTTAAGTACTGAAAGACTGCAATAACATCTTCTCGCAGCCTTCTCTTCAACAGGCTGAGCAATCCCAACTCTCTGTCGGTCCTGATAGAGAGGTGTTCCGTCTCTGATCATTTTAGTGCCCCTCCTCTGGACCTGCTCCAACAGTTCCATGTCCTTATTGTACTGGGGACCCCAGAACTGGATGCAGCACTCCAGCTGGGGTCTCAAGAGAGCAGAGTAGAGGGGCAGAATCGCCTCCCTCAGCCTGCTGGCTGCACTTCTTAAGATGCAGCCCAGGATGCAGCTGGTCTTGTGGGCTGCAAGTGCACATTGCTGGGTTATGTCCAGGTTTTCATCCACTAGTACCCCCAAGTGTTTCTTCACAGGACTGCTCTCAATAGCATCATCTCCTGCCTTTATTGATAGCAGGGATTGTTCTGACAAGTTCAAAGACATGGAATAAGGTATAGGGTTACTACTGATACATCTGTAAAATACTACTGTAATTCAGTAGCTTTTTTGGTAAAAATACATAATTGGTGTCAAATGGAAAGTTCTCACACTGCATATTTCCCTGAAAAATAAAATGTATAATTTATGGTAAAGTCCAAGCTAGTTGTTGAGAAGAATAGTGGCAGTACAGATATGTGATACAGAATCATAAGCTGTTAATGCTGAGATTATTAGTGAACTGTTTCTTGTGATAGATGTTTATATTAAGCTTATTTTCAAAGGAGTTCTGCTTATTAAAGAACCATTCAGTTAAACACATTTAAGTAGTATTTGTTGGATTTTTTTATTAAATGTAATACTGAGAAGAACTCAGCCATACTTCTTGTAGATGGGAAGAAGTTTGGAATACATTAAAAGAACTAAGAGTAATGATGAACAACAAGTAAAACACATAGTTTTACCGATTAATCTAATTAGTTTTGCCGATTAATCTAATTCTCTGGCAGTTGAAGATGGGCTGTACTTTCTGAGGATGGGCTATGAATAGGAATGATGGTTTCCATTTAGAAGATTCAGTGATTTAAAACAAGACTGAATTACTTGTGTCCATACAGGGAACTTAAAATGAGTAAATTTGTGGTATAGAGGTTAACTTTATTAATAAAATTACAGACAATAAATTATAATTTGCAGTATGGAAGATAAGTATTTGATAAAAGTATGTGACTGTGTTTTTGTCTGTTTTGTTAGGAAAATGGAATGTTGATGGTTGATGAAATGAATGATATCAGAATCATAGGAGCTATCACAGTGGTTATATTGCTGGGTATTTCAGTTGCTGGAATGGAATGGGAAGCAAAAGTAAGGAACTACCACCTTTTCTTTTATTCTCTGCTTCATAACTTTGATTTCATTTTCTACCTTAGCTGTTTGTTTTATTTTTAATATATTTAGTGCACTCAGTATTGCATGCATGGTAGATTAGAAGTCAGTCAGTGGACAACTTTTACGTAGTAGCCTTGTGTCTAGCACTGTCTGCAGATCTGGACAGCAATTTAAACTTTAGGCCACTTTGCTCCACTGGAAGCTTAAGCATCTATGAGAACCTGAAAACCAGCGTAATCTACTCCTAATGATACTCTCAAGTAGGTTAACAGTATTACCGTCTGAACCTGAACTGTGGTATCGCTGCACTGTCATCCTTATAGGGAAATAGGTAGCTTTCAAAAATCCTGTGCTCAATGTAAAAATTGGCTTGTTGGCTTGGGTTCTGCACTGTGGAAGAAGGAGGATAGGAGTGATGGTAAGCAACTGAACCTGTCAAACAAGCACTTCGTGTGGGTTAACATGCAGCTTAGCATAGCAAAACACAAGTAGTTCCCTCTTGATTTTCGTATCTTCCCCATGACTTGGACAATTGGACAAGTGGAATCTATAATAATGCCTTTGAAGCAGATCTGAATGCTGACAGAGAGACTGGGATTCCAGGGAAGTCTGCTCAAGAAGTTTCTTTTTGGAGTTTGTGATTTCTTACCTGGTGTTGAAGTGTTAGAAACCCATTCTTTGAGACTTTTGAATTTAAGGAAGATATTCAGGAAATGCTCTTAGCTTCAGGGAGAAGCCTAGGTTTGTTACTAGATACTTCCACTTGTGGCAATTGCTCTGTAGTAACTTCCTGTTGAATTCTCTAGGCTTTTTGAAGACTTATGTAAGCACGCAGCTGCATCCTTATACTTTTCATCTATTCTCTAGGTTTGGCAGTGGAGAGATCTAAATACGATGTACAAACTGGTTTCTTCAGGTGGCTTTTTAACTCTGCTCTTGGCTGTCCTCCTCTGCTTGTTGCTGTACTACCCTATTTTCTTGTTTTGTAGTGATCAGCTTTCCCACAGTGCTATTGCATATTAAGTTCTGATCCTAGGCCTGAAAAAGAAGTTAAACTATGAGTAGCTTCCCCTGAACCACTGGCATATGCCTTTATAAGGAATTAAATAAGATGAGAGATAATAGGACAGTGTGGTTGCTTATTCAAATATAAAACCACAACCATCTCTTCAGTGCCTGATTTATCTTCACCCACACTTTTGAGGTGTTTGGTGGTTTAAAGTCTCGTTCCAAGTGTAGGATTTATAATGGTTTTATTGAACAGTGGCTAAAAATCTAGGTTGTAACAAAAGATGTATCAAGAAAACTAGAAATTAACAAGTAATTGTGGTAGTTTGCAATTTGATTTTGTAAATAAGGGTTGAGAACATGAGAATGTAACAAAATTATTTAGTCTGCATAAAATAGCAGACAAAAGCTGATTCTTGATGTAATACAGTTACTGGTAAAGTAAATATCACATACTAAAGTATAAGGCTAAGTATTATGATCATGGTTAATAAAGCAATACTCCTAGAATTTGTGTGCATTTAGCTCTGTTCTTGTGAATTTCTTCAGTCTGCTCAAATCCATTCCTTCTGGAAGGCTTATAGAGAAAACAATACTTTTAAGAATTTTGTCTTTAGAAGTGTAACTTTGAGGGTTACAGGAGTAACAAATTCTTTTTTGAGTGGATGTTAAACTTACAAATTATTCCTGTCTCCTTATTAAAAATCCTGGTACTTGTTCTCTCCAGCTTGCCTTATTTGTTTGTGGAAAACAAACTGAGAAGACTAAGCTGAATTTGGAATCAAGTAAATATTTACATTTTAGAACACAACATTGAAGCTTGAAGCTGAAAAAGAGCAAGTTCTTCTGTCTGACTGCCATAATTATGTTTCAGGCACAGATAGTCTTACTGGTGATCCTCATACTTGCTATTGGAGACTTTGTCATAGGAACATTTATTCCTTTGGATAGCAAGAAGCCCAAAGGTTTCTTTGGTTATAAAGGTATGTTGAAACAGTATTCTAAACAATATCTTTGCAAAGAGAAGTCAGACTGTCATAATTAAGTTAAACATCTAAAATATCTTACAGACCTATTTACCTATGGAAACCTTTTTCTTGATTCTTTCAAACTTCTGCAGTTCTGTCCCTTAAAGTTATTGGGCCAAAACTTGGTTATGTCTGCTTAATGTTGATTATATTAATTTTTTAAAAGCTGGATGATACTGTAAGTACTTTTCCTGTTTTTAAAGGCTATTTAAGTTTACTGTGTTGATTTATTTTGAGTCAAAGTGATGAATTAGGACTTAAAGTATTCTACACTTAATTTTAAGAAGGTCATAAAGCTGTGACTTCTGGCTTTTGCCTGGAGATAATAATGGCTGGAATGGGCTAATACCGTAGCTTCTATATGAGTATTGACAGACTTAAATCCTTCTCCACAGCTGAAATATTTATGGAGAATTTTGGACCAGATTTCCGACACGAGGAAACTTTCTTTTCTGTTTTTGCTATTTTCTTCCCTGCTGCAACTGGCATACTTGCTGGTGCAAATATCTCAGGTGACCTTGCGGTAAGTAGTAAATTAGCAAATAGTGTTCACAAACACTGAGTATACATTTATCTCTGTCATCACTGTCCACTGACATTTTTCTTTCAGGATCCCCAGTCAGCCATACCTAAAGGAACGCTGTTGGCCATCTTAATTACTACATTGGTTTACATAGGAATTGCAGTATCTGTAGGTAAATAGAGAATATTTTTAACTTTACCTTTTCACATTCATTCTGAGGGTGTGTTTTTTATTTAATGTAATTCATTACGTAAGCTCATTTTTATAATTGACTTTCATGCATGGGAAAGCTAGAGGCTTCTAAATTTTATTGTTGGGAGTTCAGTTTCCAACTGGTTTTACGATTTCCTAAAATGAGTTATACTTTTTTAAGACTAGTGACGGCTTCAGATTAAAGCTGGCAAGACTTCATAGGGATGCTTCCTTATTTATTGCAGTTATTTGTATCAAAAAGTTCACAGTTTAGCAGTGGTATAACCCCTGCATTTTCAGAAAATAGTCACTGAACAAACACCTGTATTGGTTTGAAGATGATGGTAGTCCACTACTTACCTAAAGTGAATTGTGAGATGATCAAACAGCTCTTTGAAGATGCATGAGCACTAGTTCCCCAGCAGAGGAAATGGAGTGTGTATACCTTCATCTGGCCAGCCCACTTTCATAAGTAGTATGTTCAGAAACATTGTAGTTTTATTTCCATGTGGAAAGAGGAGAAACAATCATAGACTGCACTAAGTCTTGTATTGTCTCTCTACCTGGTCTTCCCCACACCACAGTGGTTTGAAATTCACTGTAGGTGTTGCCTTGAGGTTTGATGCTCTCTGTATCAGTTTTGCTTTAAAGCAGCAATGGTCAACCACATTTTTTCCACCCATGAAATAATTCTGTTCTAGTAACCTTAAGAACATAAGATTGTAATTGTATCTTGTGTATTTTCTTGCCTGTGAATGGAAATGTTATTTGTGTCACATATTATATTAATTTCTGGCAGCAGTTTTCTTGTATCAGACACCGTACATTATTTCAGCTGTACTGCCTTTTGGATTAAATTCTCATTTATAAGATCTTGCCACTAATGATACTTCCTTTCCAAAGATACCAGTCTTGCTAGCTGGCCTCTCTTGACTAACATTGTACTGCAGCTCTGCAAAATACTTGGGCTGTAGTGATTGTGCTTTATGCAGCATAATGACCTACGCTTATTTCCTAATTAGACTGACCACATAGACCTCTGCTACCAAATTTGAATACTTTAGAACTTGAATACACATAAAAGCAAAATGCTCATTAATATTAATTTGTTAATGGAATACTTTGATCATCTTCAGACATGAAAAACCTCATTTTTCATATTGCGAAAGGAATACTTTGCAAAACCAATAGAACATGAAATGGTTTGATGCGTCAGAAATGTCCTACCTAAATTGCCTCCTACAACTTGCACTTAGAATTCTGCTAGTAAGAAAAGGCCAGTGCTATTGCAGAAGTCAGATTATGACATGAGTGAAATTTAGCTTTTTTGAGGCATTGGATCAGGAACTGGACAAATAAAAAGACTTACATTCCTTTCCCCACTCACTGTTTCCCACTGTAAATGTCCAGAGTAATGATAAGCAAATCATTAAACATTTGAAGGGGCTAGTAAAGGTCACAGAGTAGTCATGTCTGAAGGGGAAGATGATGTTTTGAATTTAGCTCAGTATTTGCATACTCTGTAGTAAGAGGGTTAAGAAACTGAGTAGAGAAATCTTAGAAGAGGAAAATTGCTAGACGTACTGCTGGAGCTAGTCAGCCTATTTCAGAAAGATTAATAGCTGTGTGGAGAAGGTTTCATATTTTAGCAAGGGCCTAATGCAGATGTCCAGATGGCAGGATGTAGTTTGCATAAGCAACTTTTATATCAAAATTCTTGAAAGACATGTTTTAGAGAAGTCATTTATTGCTTTAAAAGCAAGGGAAGCTCTGACAAAAAAACCTCGAACATCTGGGTAGGGTTAAGACATGCTTTCTGTACACTAGAAAGTAAAACCAGTTAATAAGAGCCTAAGAGTAGCTGCCTGTGGCACTGGAGGAGTTAAGAACTCTCAACTGCAATCTGAAGGAGTCAGGGTAGTATCTTTGGTTACATGCTGGTAACATGCTGGTTACATGTAGTTAGAAGATAACTTGATATAGCTGGTCTTTTAACCTCAGGCTTATGGCATGGCAAAACTTTATTTGACTTTGGCAGGAACATGCTTATAAATGCCCATGAAAAGGTGATACTGTGTTTTTACAGGAAAAAAGACTTAGATTTTCTGAGCAAAAAACTTGCTGGAATCTTACAAATAAATAAATTTTCTGAATGAGGCTTAAATAAAATGTCTGGACTCTTACTTACATCTAAGTATCTTCTGTTGAGAATAAAGCCTGCCCAGCTGGCTTCTGTTCTCTTTTCTGTCATGGTGAGGCACGCATAAAGTTTGTTCAGAGTGCCATTGTCCCTTTCTGTTGTACTTTGACTCTGTGTGTGAAAGTCTTGCCAGCCAGTTGGATGTATGAAAAAGGGAATGAGGAAGAGGAGAGCTGTGATACCACACTGCAGATATTTAATGGGTTGCTTAACTTAATGGGTCTCCCACTGCAATCTGTTACCAAGAAAATGTTACCAACAAATAGTTGAACTAGTAAGTATATTGTCACATCTGTTATATACTGCTCTAAAGGCTGGGGCAAATACTTGCATCATAGGACAAAAACTTTTTTTCTAGTCACAAGCACTTGCTGTTCAAGTTCCTGAAAGACCAAATTAAGCGATTTCTCCTAGGTACCGCTTTGTAATAGCTCTGCTCTTTCCCACTCCGTATTTAATTCCTGTTCCTGGAAATATTTGCTGGTAGTCAAACGATCTGACTACTTGTTGTGGTTTAATGTGGCAAGCAGCTAAAACCCATGCAGTTTGTTTGCTTGCCTTCCCCCATTCCAGATGGGATAGGGGAGAGAATTGGGTGATTAAAAGTAAAGAACTTGTCTGTTGAGATGAAGACTATTTAATAACTAAAACAACCTAAACTTAAATAATAATAATGCCAATTAACTGTAACAAGAATAGGAACAACAGTCATGAAGCAATTAAAGTTATACTCACCTCACAAACAGCAACCACTGGCCTTATGCCAATGACAGCATGACAAGGAAGGGGTAGGCCTCAGGAACTGAGATGGGCCACCATCACAAAGTAGAAGGGAAGGGATTGAAGAAGAAGAAGGAGGAGGAAGGACTAAAGGGCCTGTCCCCTGCAAGCTTTCCAATTTATCTTGAGTTTATGGCTAGAATACATTCTTACTGGTCAGCTTGAATCAGACCTAGATCATCTGTCCTGGGTCACCTATTCCAGAGAGTCCTCGCTTTTCAATCCCCAACCTTTTTTTTGTGCAGAGAGGGGGGGGAAAAACCAAAACAACAAAAACAGAAAACCACAAAAGAAATTATAACTGGAGGTGCAGGTGGGACCTTGAAAATGTAAATATCTGTCAGCAAGAACAGCAATAAAAAAAACTTCTCTGGAAACTTCTAAGGAAAATAACTTCATCCTGGCCAAAGCTATAATGTCAGCTTATGTTCCTTAAAGTTTAAATACTGCAGCTTTCTCAGAAATCCAGCTCTGGCTGAAGCATCAAAAGGGGAATTCTACAACTCGATGCCAGTAAAACCAGGGCACTACCTCAACTATTAAACCGTAGAATGTTAAATAATATTTAGTCTGCTCTAATTTTTGTCCTTTGAGACAAAAACCTTGAAGTAGAACACTTATGGGCTTTTTTAGTACTTCTTATTTTTTTCTTAGTACTTAAGGGATGAAATGCTGTCTTTAGCATTTTCCTGAACAGTGACATCACAAATAATCACAGATGAATTGAAGACAGCCATGTAATTGATAAACTTAATTAGAAAAAATGTCGTAGGAATGGGATTCTGTGGCT